TGAAACAATGATATTGAATAATTCAGTTTTTCTGCCAAGCTTTTTAACTCATTTACTATAAAGTGTTACTGTTAGATTTCGCCAGAGGAAATTATAATTCAGCAGATGTTTCAAGTGCGCACACAATTCCCAATCATACTGAACCTTTATTTATTTAACTTACAAATACACAGTTAGAAAACCAGAACAAGCACAATCATAGTCATGTGTTCCAGCAGACTGTAGGATTTCCTGATTGATTCACAATTCTGAACAGAGAAACTAAATGACATTTACTTGAGGTTCTGACAAAATGTTAATTGCTGCAGTCTATTCAAAAAATATCTAGTTATTAAGTAGTTGAATGAATTATTTGTTTTTAATGGGTTTGAATGAATAATTCAATGACTCACTAATAAAGTGCTTCGTTTGTGGATGAATCAGTGTTTTTGAACAACTATTGAGTGAATGATTCAATGACTCATGCATAAAGACATCACTTGCTTTATAATTGGATGAATCAACATTTTTGAATAAATTGTATCAGTGAATGATTCAATGGCTTTCACTTGTTTCATTACCGGATGAATCAGCGTTTTTGAACAAATCTCTTGAATGAACTTACTTAATGACTCACTCATGAAAACAACACTTGTTTAATTTCGGGATAAATACAAATGTTTGAACACATCTCAAGTGCATGATTCAATGACTCGCATAAAAGTCGTCACCTGTTTCATTACTGAATGAATCAACATTATGAACAAATCAAATGAATCAATCAATCAACAACTCACTCATAAAGACTTGACTTGTTTCATTACCGGATGAATCCCTGTTTCTAAATGAATCTCCAAAATAAATGATTCAGTGATGAACACATTTTTAACAGCCAGCTGGAGTAACAATGTAATCACATCAAGTTACTTTCAGAAGGTGATTTACTGTATATAAGCTAACATAGACTTCAGTGTTTATATCCAAACTATTAACTTTTATCCCAGCATTTCTTTGATAACCTGAATGTTTGTAACAGAAATAAACATACTGTTTGTGTGAAAAGACTGTGAAGTTGTTCCAACATAGGGCAGGGAGATTTTTCTGATATTATCTATTAATTCAAATTTAAAGTTTTGACAATTTTATTTTTTAGAAATCGTGATTTTGAATAGAAATATCACCAAACGTTAGAATTAGACACTTTTACAATATGCCAATGATAACAGTAATGAGAAAAGAATGATCCAACTCGCATGTCAGCACACGTGATAAACCGAGGAGTAATTTTCCTCCTATTATTTCTGAACGCATGTACAAGAGAAGTTTGTACAAGATGTAGTTGTAGTTCATGCATCTTTTCTGCAAAGAACAAGTGATTTGTTTAACATTACATCAGGTTGACAGCATGTGTGCTGCACTTGGAATATAATTTTCTTATAATTTACTTTCCATCACAGAAGAAAAGACTTCCCTCAACCCTGTGGCAAGGAATACTCAGATTGTATGGATGTAACGATATTATCAATATCGCGATATTGCGATAGGTCTTTCGGGCAAAAAGTGTAGTTTTTAAAATAAATTTGTTTTGAGGCATTATGCTTCGGTGCACAGTATCTGTCAAATGAACTCACACCGAAAGCACAATATGGCTTGTTCCCTTCATCAAGTCTGTTTTCGCTGCGTGTTTCAAAGCGAAGCCACACTCCGCGTCTCAGAACGACTCGTTCACACTGAGTAAGTGCAGTCAACTCCTTTATTTCATGTGCTGTGTGTGAGTTTAGCACGCGTTTAGAAACACAACGGCCACCAGTTGTGCTTTATTTTTGCAGCAGATGATTACAGCGTTTCACTAGTGAGACGTGTTTATGTAAGCATGTTTTCACTGAAGCTGGAGTGTCCTTCAAAATAAAAGCTTTAAAGTGCAGTCCAAATTAAAAACAACTCTTTCAAGTGTAGAAATTAGGAAAGAAGTATTGTAATTTCCCTACTGTAGTGTAAATATATCTGAAATATTCATTTTCGTTTATTTTACAGTGCAATTGTTTTACAACAGATGGCTACTACTGTCATTGTTGTTATTATATTATAATTAGTTTGGCTTCCTAAAACAGCAGTGTGAGTGTAATTTAGACTGAGACAGTGTACCACAAATAAAAAGAGGGTCGAGTTCTCTTTAAAGTTCAGGTACAAGTCAATGCACTGACTTTTTTCTTAGTTAAGAACATGGGTTGTAGCTCTTAATTTTGAACTCTCAAAGTGCATTAGATAGAATAATTTAACTTTAAAATGTACAAAATGTTC